GAGGGAGCAACTGTCTCTGAGATGGCCAGCTTAAATGAACCAGCAAAAGTTTGTGTGGAGTGTGTTCCCTGCTTGTAATGAGGCTGTGAGGATAAAGGCTGGGTAAATGAGTGGGCAGGCTGCTGAACTGGTGGTAACTGAGCTACAGGTAGCGAAGTAGTAACAGGTGGTGGAGTGGCTGGCTGAACTGATAGCGGCGTTACAGGCCTGGCATTTGACTGGGATGGAATTGAGGAAGGGACAATGGAACGGACACGGTCATAAACATGGAACGCGGGTTCAGAACAGGCAGTCTTAGATGCTATGGGCATGGATGAAAAATCATTGTTATCCTCAGTCGAAACACGAAAAAATGCCCCAGAAACAACAGTCACAGAAGCAACAGAGTCAACAAAAGTGTCCCTTTCACTCACCACAGCTGGCCGATTTGACATCCTGAAGTCCGGCTGCGGGGCGCCGCGCCGGTGACGCGAACGTCGCTTCCTCCCTGCCGACTGCTCCGGCGGGCTGGGCAAAACCTCCGGCGGGCCGGGCAAAACCTTCACCGGCGGGCTGGGTTGGGAAGCGGTAGCGGCAGCGCCTGAAGGGTGTAGGTGAAGTTCGTGGAGAATGAAGTTTTGTACCAGAGGGTGCAGTGAGTCCAATAGCCAGGGATAATCCGTGATAAGTTGTTGCAGCCTGACTTCCAGAACGTAGAGAAATGCTTCTCCCTCATGCTTGAGCCACAGGTTGATTAGTTTTGACACAGAGTCCGTTATGAGCTTTCGAAGCTCTGTGGGTGGGGTGAATGCCGCTGGATCCATATCTGGCTAGTCCGTACTGTCACGGCAAGTGAGATGAGCCGTGTGGAAAATAAAGGAGGATCCAAACGCAGGCACTTGTATGGGTGTGAGGGTGGTTTATTAAACACAAAAAGGAAATGGACAAACGGCGAACGGAGCAATGACTAAACTAAACTGGGAACAAACTAACTATAGAACACGAACCTGGACATGAATGAGAGTGGGCGGAAACAGATGATGGTAGACTGCAGGGAAACACACAGATGAAGCAGGGTGGAAACACAGACGGACCAGCAACTACAATGACGGCAGACATGACTTAAATACACAGAGAATCACAGGGGAATTACACACAGGTGGTGGACACAGCTGGGAATAATCAACAAGACGAGACAAAGGTAAAACTGAACACACTCACATGAGACGCAGACCATCACAATAAAACAGGAACAAGCAACCATCACACTAAGACACAAACTCGACATAGAGAGACAGACAGAAAATGGCACATGGAGCTAGACAAATACTAAGCAGACACAACTGAAGAACAAATCCTAAACACCACAGAAACATAAAACTCAAATAATAAACATCATCATAATCAACACTACAAGAGAACAAGAAAACAATCCCTGATGCAAACTAAAACCAAAACATAATAAAACTCAAACTACTGGGTCCGACGGACCCAGAACCGTGACACTATTAACTGGAAGAAGGACGTGTCCTTTAAACGTGTCCACAGGTGTGTCCTACCAAAGGTGTCCTTAAAACTGCTATAAAACGTGACTCTCAGGGGTTTTGGAACGACGTCTTATCTGGACCACATCAGGACAGCAGCATAAACTCGTCTCTATCTTCCATGTCCTCACTGTCATGATGGAAATGCACAACTATACTGACACTATCAAACTTTCTGCTCTTGTCCTTTTGTCAAATAAAGCTTTTTTTTAAGTGTGCTGTGTCTGGGTAAAGGTTAAAAGTTAGTATGTGAGTGTGTCACGTGCTTCAGAGCTGCAGACTTCACACTGATTCAGCTTCAGAGCTGTGAGCCTGTGCTGCCCCCTGCTGCCTGCTGCCTGCTATTGCTGAGTGTGGCTTTACTTTGTTTCTATTAGATCTAAGAGAGTTCTGTTGCAGTGCTTCCAGTTTAGTGACTTATTGATTAAAATTATATTTTATTTTATTTCATGTATTCAGTAAAGGAAATACCAACTTTTAGAATAAATAAACTCTAAGATTATCTTATGTTATTGTGTGTGTGTGTGTGTGTGTGTGTGTGTGTGTGTGTGTGTGTGTGTGTGTGTGTGTGTGTGTGTGTGTGTGTTTTAAGGTCAGGTCTGAGCTGAACGGTTTGAACTTTATAACACAATCATACATTTTTATGTTTGTTTACACACGTTGATAAGAGGATGAGGTGTGGTGTAATAACACATGTGTCTGTGCAGATTCTTAGTTTATAACAGACTCGTTTTCCTTAATGATTGGTTATTGGAAAACATAAACATTTGAAATTTATGTTTCAGCTGTGTTGTACTCAGAATTATTGCTTCAATCAATCACCCAGTGCATCATGGGAATCCCCAGCAGCCTACACCTACTGCAGCATAACTAAGGGAGGATTCAGGGTCACCTGGTCCAGCCCTAACTATATGCTTTAGCAAAAAGGAAAGTTTGAAGCCTAATCTTGAAAGTAGAGATAGTGTCTGTCTCCTGAATCCAAACTGAAGCTGGTTCCACAGAAGAGGGGCCTGAAAACTGAAGGCTCTGCCTCCCATTCTACTTTTAGATACTCTAGGAACAACAAGTAGGCCTGCAGAGCGAGAGCGAAGTGCTCTAATAGGGTGATATGGTACTACAAGGTCATTAAGATAAGATGGGGCCTGATTATTTAAGACCTTGTATGTGAGAAGCAGGATTTTGAATTCTGGATTTAACAGGAAGCCAATGAAGGGAAGCCAAAACAGGAGAAATATGCTCTCTCTTTCTAGTCCCTGTCAGTACTCTTGCTGCAGCATTTTGGATTAACTGAAGGCTTTTCAGGGAGTTTTTAGGATGCCTGGGTCGTTGACCCAGAGTTTTGAGTTTATTATATTATTTATCATTTGTAGTCTTTGGTTTCTTAGAGTTCTATCTTATGGTTTATGTCTCTGTGTCTCCCTGGTCCCACGTCTCTGTTCCCTCTGTTGTAGTGCCTGCCTGTGAGTCTGTGTCTGTAAGTTCAGTCTGTGTTATGTTTCCTGTTTTACTTTGAAAGTCCTTGTCTCATGTAAATGCGTCTGGTTGTGCTTCCTGTGTCTCGTTAGGCCTGATTTGCCCCAGCTGTGTTTCCCTCCTGTTACCAATTCCCCGATTGCTCCCTCTGTGTATGCCCTGTGTTTCAGTTTGTCCGTGTCGTGATCTACCCTTATTTTGCTGTATGTTCTGTCTGTGTAAAGTTTACCTTGTAGTCTCAGTTTTGTTACTTTTTTGGAGTTCAGCATTAAAGCTGTATTTAAGTTCACCTTTGATTTCTGTGAGTCTACATTTTGGGTCCTTCATGTAGTGATGGGCAGATGAAGCCCCATGAAGCACTGAAGCTTTTCATCCAATTGGTTCACCCCAACGCGAAGCTTCATGAAGCTTCATTTGCTCTAGCAGGACACCTACTGGACATAAAAATAATAGCTGGCATGAATTTGAAGAGTGTGGCATTTTGCACACAGCCTGTAAATGTCAACAACAAAAGGAGTGTGTAAAACATGTATATTGTAGTGATGGCAGTATACTGTGTATATTTATAGTGGCAGTATGGGAAATGATTATTTGGAAATGCTTGAAATGGAAATGATCATTTACTGTGAGGTGAGGTGTGGTTGGGGTGTGGACAGTGGTTGTGCTTTTGTAACGTTGAGGTATGGACAGCTACACACTGAGGCTTTGAGCCTCAGTCCTGCCTGTTCACATTTTATTCTGTAAAAACAAAATTTTCACTGCTTTTATGACCTTTTTAGTGGGGAGAACATAGCTAGGATTTAATGATTTAACAAATCTTTTGAATCCTTTGTCCTCCACAATGCTAAATGGCTGGGAGTCCTCAATCACCATGCTAACCAGGTCTTCATCTATTTGAGATTGTTCTCCTGAGGAAAGACAATAAAGATAAAGCACAAATATAAATATCACACACGTAACTTATAACAGTTGTATAATATTGTTATATCATTTAGTAACATTACTGCATCCTATATTATCATTGCATTTGATGGCTCACCTGGTCTTGCTCCACAATCGGTGTCCCCCTTATTCTCATGCAAAGCTCTGTAGTGCCTAAGCATGGATGAGGTGTTGTTGTTGTTATATCCCAGCTCCCTGGCACATAGCAAACACTTCACCTTGTACAAAAGTCAAGACAGCTCAACATAAATTGTATTGCACCATCAGTATCATGAAAATACATGTTCTGTAGAAATTTACATACCTTGTTGGGAGGAATAAGATCAAAATGTTCCCACACAGGGGAGGACATCCTCCTCTTCTTAGCTAGCTCCATTCTCTCCTGACTTTCCTCACTCTCATAAACCTCCAAACGGTCTCCAAACTCTCACTAACCGCAACTCTCCATCAAACACCCACATTTTTGAATGAAGTCTGAGGGGTTTATATCGCTGTCATATCTCGTGGCAAAGTTCGAACCACTTCATGAACCAGTCACGTGGTACAGCCGGGCAGCGAGGCTTCGGACGTCATCATTTTCAGCTCCTCTCATAAATGAAGCAAGCCTCGATACGCGCTTCGCGGAAACGCCCCCTCCATTACTCGACACACGCTCCGAAGCCTCGATACAGAACGTCCCATCACTACCTTCATGTCACCACTCCTGCCTGCACACAGCCTTCCCATAACACAGTCGTCCAGCCTGGAAGTAATAAATGCATGAACTAGTTTTTCAGCGTCACTCTGAGACAGGATATTTCTAATTTTAGAGATGTTGCGCAAATGGAAGAACGCAGTCTTACATATTTGTTTAATATGTGCGTTGAAGGACATGTCCTGGTCAAAAACGACTCCAAGGTTCCTCACAGCGTTACTGGAGGCCAAGGTAATGCCATCCAGAGTAAGAATCTGGTTAGACACCATATTTCTAAGATTTTTACTGTGAATATTAGAGATAGTCTCATGGTCCTCACGTCTTCTCTGGTGTTCTCTTTGTGGTTCTTGCTCCCTCTTCACTCCTCCCCCAGCAGGGTGGCGCTCCTCCCCAGCAGACCTTCCTGGACCCCTGCCTGTTTCCTGTGGGCCCTGTTTGGATGAGCATGAGTGAGTTTCTGCGTGGGACTGGACTGAGAGTGTGTCAGTCACAGACTGTGTGTAGAGGAGTGTGAACGAGTTAGCCTTGCCCTGTACTTTTACCCTGGAGTCCCAGTCCCTTCGTCACAGTACATATGTATATATGTCACCTGGTGTTGTAAATAAACCTCCCTTTAATGGCACAATTCTGAGTCCTGCCTGAGACAGATTAATCATATTTAAGACTGAAGCATTAATTAATGGCAGGACTTCTTTGAGCAGTTTTGTAGGAATGGGGTCTAAAAGACACGTTGATGGTTTGGAGGAAGTAATTATGGAAGTTAACTCAGAAAGATCAATTGGAGAAAAAGAGTCTAACTTAACATCAATGGTACTAAGAGTAGCTGTAGATAATATTACATCTGTGGGATGATTACTGGTATTTTTTTCTCTAATGATAAAAATTTTATTTGTAAAGAAGTTCATGAAGTCATTACTAGTTAACGTTAAAAGGATGGTTGGCTTAACGGAGCTCTGACTGTTTGTCAGCCTGGCTACAGTGCTGAAGAGAAACCTGGGGTTGTTCTTATTTACTTCAATCAGTGACGAATAGTAAGATGTTCTGGCATTGTGGAGGGCTTTCTTATAAAGCAACAAAATATTTCTCCAGGCTAAATGATGATCCTCTAAATATGTGACACGCCATTTCCTCTCCAGATTACGAGTCATCTGCTTTAGGGTACATGTTTGAGAATTATACCATGGAGTCAGGTACTTCTGATTTGAGACCTTAGTTTTCACTGGAGCTACAGTATCCAGAGTCGTACGTAGTGAGGAAGTGAAATTATTAACAAGATAATCGACCTCTGTTGGGATAGTGTTCAGATAGCTGCTCTGCTCTATGTTGGTACAGGGCATTGAAGATGATAACAGTGGGTGGATTATGTTAATGGATTATGTTATCTTAAACTTAGTTACAGCGCTTTCAGAAAGACATCTACTTTGATAAAGTCTACTCTCCACTGCTGTGTAATCAATTATTGTAAATGTAAATGTTATCAGGAAATGATCAGACAGGAGAGGGTTTTCAGGAAACACTGTTAGATGTTCAGTTTCTATGTCATATGTTAAAACAAGATCTAGAGTGTGATTAAAGTGGTGGGTGGGTTCTTTTACATTTTGAGAGAAGCCAATTGAGTCTAATAACAGATTAAATGCCATGTTGAGGCTGTCATTTTTAGCATCTACATGGATGTTAAAATCACCCACAATAATTATTTTATCTGAGCTCAGAACTAAATCAGATAAAAAGTCTGAGAAATCAGACGGATTTTTGATTCATTTAAACAACATAATCATCCTGCTGTAACCAGGTTTCAGTAAATCAATTTGTTGATCAATTATTAAGTCATGCACTAACAGAGACTTGGAAGAGAGAGACCTAATATTTAATAATCCACATTTCCTGATTTATTTAAAAGCAGCTTGTCATCACTGTGCCACCACGAGAGGAGAGCAGAGACAGGAGCCTGCTTATCTTTTTTTGGTCTCCAGTTTGAGCCTAAAACTCATTTCATGTTTATTTATAATAAGCCCTCTTCTCCTGTCTTCTTCCAATAATAATTATCTGAGTAATAAAATCAAAGACTAACAGGAGGAGCGTGTAAGTCTGTGCTTTTACCGATAATAAACCTTTGTCTCTGATGAAAACACTGAGCGCGATCCGCAGCCTTCACATTGAAACCTTCTCTGTGTTACATAGCAAACATGGACAGAAACATGTAGACTACTTCCTGTGAGGCCAAACTGAGCCTGTGTGTTAATTAAAGCCTTCATCAGCCTCCTCCTCCTCACGTTTTGAGGACAGACAGAAAGACATGCTGTGATCTGAAACTGGTTTGAAGCACATGAGAACATGTGGAGGTACCTTTGGAGGTCAGATGACAGATACACTGGATAATATTTCCCCAGAAATCCAACCAAAGGTATCAGTTTAAAACTTATTTCATATATTTATTGTCTTTAAAGTGTTTTCATGTCTTTTAATTCTTATTTGAATGAATGCTTTACTTCACGGAGGTGTTTCTAACAGACAGGAAGCAGTGAAGCCGATCTATGGTGAACGTCATCACTCAGGTGTTTGCAGGTGTTTGGTGGTCCTCTGTGTGAGTCCTCGTTGATGCCTTGATGCGCTCAGTGACAGCACGCTGAAAGTCAGACCGGTGAGCCGCTTTTATTCTGAAAAACCGGAATGCTTTTATTTTGTAGAGCAGAAAGCGGATGTCCTGTGTGTGTGTCGATCGAGTTCGTGAGCTGCAGTACATCAACAGGTGAGAGAGACGGCGCGCGCTCAAAGGAAACGGAGAGGTGCGAAGGCGAGAGGATGGAAGGTGAGGAGGTGTCAGGGGGGGAGGTGTCAGGGGGTTCCGCTCCTCTCTGAGCGGAGGACGGCAGAGGGTAGCAGACCTGCGGAGGAGGAGGTCCGCTACTTTCCGGAAAAACAGTCCGTGATTTGTTTCCGCCTGCTCGCGTTAATGATCGACCAGGCTTCGGTTAATCGACGCGCCGAGCAGAGTCATAGGAGTTGAATCAAACGCCGCGCTCAGATCTAACGACGCTGTCATCTTCAGTATCCAGTCATCAGTTACATCGCTGTTCATTGTTATTATTAAACACACAGGTCAGGTCATACACTGTTCTTCCACCATCCTCTCAGAGTAACACACTGATGGTTTCAACACATTTATAGTTTCATTCAATCTCTGTCAAACCTTGTATGACTTATTTATTGTGTTATTTCAATCACTTTCATGTTGTAGATCTCTTTCCTTAGAGTCCAAACTTTCTCCTTAAAATAAACACTTTGGTAATATCAGCAGGTTTAGTCTACAAATGATGGGGTTGATTTAGCCCTCTGCCCATGGACTTCAGTTCTGTTACCATTTTGCCACATGAATCTTATTTTCGTAATAACTTAATTTTGTGCATCTCCTGCCTGATGTGCTTCGGCAGACGTGTGTGTTTCAGGTGTTTGCTGAGTCCCGTGCTGCGGAGTCCTCTGCTGTCCCCGCGGTCCTCGATGAAGATCCATGAAGGTAATTTGTGTTTCTTCTTTGTGGCGTCGCTTTAAGCAGCTGGACACGGTCACGGCTCAGCGATTAGGGGTGGGTTTTTATAATCGATTCATCGATTAAAATCGATTCTGGCTTGGATAACGTAAAATCGATTCATTAAAATCCTGAATCGATTTTTTTAATATAAATTTATTTTGCCCGAAATGCCAGAATCTCTGGTGACATCTCACAAAATTTCAAGAACCACCAAACAGTTAAGACAGTAAATGAGAGCAGGAACACGGATTCTGCACATAGACTTAACACACAGCGCGACCCGCGGATCAGAATCAGTTAGATGTCGCCTTTCTCACGGTCGGGGCTGAAAGCCGACAGCTCGCTGATCCTGATGTTTCGGCGGGTTCACGCTTTGTGTTTACGCCCTTTTTGCGCCGATTCTAAAGCTGTTAGTTTGATCTCTCTCCAAACAATATTGACCGAACCAGCAGCAAAAAAAGATCCAAACGCTTCACATAAACATCATCATGAATTCACTCTGACTTTTACTGTTTTGCTTCCACTGCGATGCACAGCTCTCTCTCTCCCTCTCTCTCTCTCTGTACTTCAAGAACAGTTTCCCTTTCTTCATTATTCGCTTGCTTGTTACGCACCAGTCTACTGTTGTTTACAGCGCTGTCGGCCGCTGTTTTTTTCCCTTTTACATTCTTCCGAAAAGACAACCTCATTTCTGCTGTTCAATACTGAACAAATGTAAACTTTTTAAAATTATATAAAATGCAAAATGCTCAGCTGTGTCTGTAAAAAAACCCGCTGTAATTTCAGAGGTAATGTTCATAAGGTGATCAATGTTTTTCATTCGTTTTTGATGTACTGCATAATATTTTTATAAATCCCAGGCCAGGAAAATCACCTTCATGTTTTTCTGTGTTTTATCTTCAGCTACTTTGACACAAAGGCATCTGCTGTGACGCTCACACCTGTGATAAAGTCTTGCATGTGTCAGCTTCCTTTTTATTGATACAAAAATATGTAAATGTACTGATCTGAATTATAATATTTCTCACTGTCAAAATTTCCCAGATTTAAATCAAATCGAATCGAATTAAATCGAATCGTGGATCGAATCGATTCGGGACCTTGTGAATCGGAATTGAATCGATTCTAGAAATCAGTGACGATACCCAGCCCTATCAGCGACATCAGCAGTGACACATCTGTGACCCTGTCACAGACACTCACAGCAGTTTCCTGAGTGATTCACTTGTTCCGCTTGAACTCTGCTCTCTGATTGGACGGTTTCTGTCAGTGGTGACGTGACTCTGTGGCCGGTCGTGGTCACTGTGGACCCAAAGAGGCGACTGGACGTGCCTGACAGGAGAGTGTGACCGCAGACTCCGAGGTCAGGCTGAGACACGATCCACCCACGCTGAGTCAGAGTCGAGCTGACATCACCTGAGCTGCTGGAACAACAATAGCAACCAGACTGAGATGTCTGTAGCTTTACTCTGTCCAGTCAGGCTGTGATGGGTCTAGATTTAGACCTCAGAGAGCTCAGGTGTGTCAGGTGACACTTTGTACAGCTGTGAGTCAGATTCCTGTCGACAGCACGTATTATAATATTTACTGAAACTAAACAGTAAAATAAACGTTTCCAAATTGACACTGCCTGTAGGGGGCGCCACAGCGGATCATCTGCCTCCATCTTTTCATCCACTCTGATGCGAATCCCTCTGTCGTCTCTGCAGCTCCGCCCATCATCAGTGCATCCTCCCCTCCTCCCCCATCCTCCCCCATCCTCCCCTCTCCCTGAGGTCACCTCGCAGCCTGAGAGCGTTCACACCAAACCTAAAACTTTGTTAGAGTCAGTCATTGGACATTGAAGTTTACTGAGCACGAAGCATCGGATCAGTTTTCCTCACTGTGTGAAGGAAGTGTGGCAGAAGAGACAGGAACCCTGGATCTGCTGCTGATGTAGAGGTCCGTCCCAGGAAGCTCACAGGTAGATGTTGTCAGCTGAGTGAAACCTCTCGCTGAACGATCGGATCGGTGAGGAGCGACAAGGCCTGTCTGTGTCATGTTTCACTCTCAGGTTTGTCATAGTTGCTGTGATTTAATATGAAGGCGTGGTCTAATCCCGGCTTGGAATGTGCACGGCTCTGAAAGCTTTCCAGGTATGAAGCGTACGAGCTCTGGACTCTGAGCAGCGTGTTTGCTCTGCAGGTGGTGAATGCCTGAAGTGTCACGTCATTTTTAAGCCTTTCTTTTCCTGCAGCACACCTGAATCCGTCAGCCGATCAGCTGACCGAATCCGGCCCCGCAGCATTCCTCGCCCACATTTCCGAGGATGTTATGAGCAGGATAAGCCGCTCCCGTCCTGCACACTCACCCAAACACGCCGCTGTGAATCCCGTCAGCCTGCCGGGCTGCGGCACGAAAACGTCTTCCTGTTTATTCCCACTGACACGCTGGTCATCAGGCTGAAGCTCGGGCTGAGAAGGTGTGAACCTGCGCCGCACACCAACTCTGTGGAATAATAAACTGAAGTGAAAGCTTCGAGTGAGAGGCGCTTTCTGTCAGCTGTTCCTGCCCTTGGACCTGGATGATGTCACTGAGGAAGGACGATGGGATGGTGTGCGCTACGAGGTGAGTCCACCGTTCCTTCTCGGTTCCCCGGGTATCCTGACGTCAGAGATCAGGGCGGTCGGTTACCAGCCCGCTGACTGAACATGGCTTTCTTGATCCAGGCACGAGGGCGCTCACCTGAAAGTTGGCGGAATCTGACCAATCACAGTTATGTTAGGAGAAGAATAAAGTATAAAACCAAGACGACTCAGAGGTCAGTGTCAGCAGCTCTGCATCAGTGTGTGTGTTAATAAAGTTTGAAGCCTGGACAGGAAACCATCCATCATTCAGGCATTTTATCAAATAAATGTCTGTAAACTCAGTAACCGTTAGAAACGCGGCACGTGTGCGTGTGAGGGCCGAATCGCATGTTAAAGGTTATGAAACAGAAACTGAACCCAAAACGAATCGCATCAAAGTTGTGACTGAGAATGAACATTTGTCACTCGGAGTCACACAGACTTCAGACCTGCTCCTGTCGACGCTCTGAGGGATCCTTAGGAACGGGGACGTTGTTTTCCTGAGATCTGATTGGGTGGGGATTTCATACCTGCTGATCGCTAATCTGGAGCAGGTTCGGTTCACAGCATCAGTTTATTTTTTTTAACCCCCTTCACAGAAACCTGAAGTTACCGGGGTTACCTGGATCAGGTGAAGTCCTGCTATGTGCTGCAGACCTCAGATCTGACTCTCTGTTTCTAAACGTATCCCCCTTACTGTCAGCCTGCTGCTCCTTGTCACCCCACCCGGCCTGCCGTGTTTGCACTGCCCTCTAGTGACGTCTGGAAGGGGGCGGGGTTAAAGCAGCTTCTTTCACACACAGGATGAAGCAGTATCAGATACAGAAGGATTATTCTGAACTGCGAGTCAGGCAAAGCTGCTCTGTTAGAGTATGGATGTGCAGTTCACTCACAATACAGGATAAAGTCTTTATGTTTGGGGTGGTGTTCACTTCCTGTCAGGGTCAGAGGTCAGAGAGAACCTAAATGTAAACCCTGTTTGTTCTCAGAGAATCTGAGTGATCCCTGTGAGGAGGAGGAGGAGCAGGAGGAGGAGGACCCACAGCACTTTGTCTCCTGTGAGAGGGAAACTTCAGCCTCTGCTGCCTGAAGCTCTGCTGCATGGACCCCACCGTGTTTCATCAACATGTCCTCTGATTGGTCCTTCCCTTCAGTCTGAAGATCTGTCAGCCAATCAGTTTCTGTCTGGGTGAGCGCCACTTCCTCTCCCCACCAGCTGCTGCAGTCACTCAGCTTACTCAGCAGCACGAGTGTGTGTGTTGTCCTGTGTGAGCCCTCCCACCTTCTTTTCCACTCCCATCCCCCTTCCTCACACACGGCCTGTGTGTGTGTGAGTCAGTGGAGAAAGTTACACTCTGTGTGTGTGTGTGTCTGTCTGTGTGTTGTCCTTGCAGCAGACTTTGCTTCAGTGCGGCGGGGGAGAGGAGTGAGCGAGGACGCTGCAGCTGGGTGAGGATCGGAGCTGAGGGGATCGCAGCGTTTCGGGGTTAAAGGTGAGCGTGTGCTTCCTTCAGTTTGTCCCCACCTGTATAAAAATGGCTCTGACCCGGTTCAGACCCGGTCTGAGGGTTTTAGGTGATCAGGATTATTTGTGAATCATCAGTTTTCTACAGAGGGTGAAGGAGTTTACCATCAGAGGCAGTGCTTTGGGGCTGTTTAGACTGAGGATTTTAAATCTCAGTTATCCCCTCTGTGGGTCACCGTGCCCCCCCAGATGTTCCAGCCGTGGTGGTGGGGAGGGGGGGGTGGACACTTCCTGAGTATTTGTGAAGGCTCTCAGTCATCCAGGTCATTGCAGTCTAAGGAGCTCTGGGAGAAAAGTGTCTGGACTTCTTAAGTTTGCTTAAAGACGTTTCACCTCTCAAGGAAACTGAAAGACGTGCAGACACACTTCCTCAGTCATTTATTCAGTGTGTGTGTGTGCTGGAAAATCTTTTTCTTTAGTTTCTGTCGTCTGTAGTTCAGAGTTATCTTTTTTAGTTATTATTAGTTATTGATGATCTATATTGATTAACAGTGGTGTAGTACACTAGTTTAAATGACGTGTAGGTGCCCTGTGTTTGCAACCGTCTCTGTGCTTTTCTTCCTGCGAATGATGATGCTGTGTGTGAGCAGAGTGCTGATTGGTTGAAAACTCTCCTTCCAGCTGAAGTTGTTCTTTGGCGACCTGGTTGTTTGTGTCAGGCTGAGGACGTCTGTGTGAGTCTTTGTCATTTGCTGTTATTTCCCATGGAGACAGCGCGCCGTCCTCTCAGTCATCAGGGAATGTAAAGTCTGCAAGCTCCAGAGCAGACTGATGACAGCAAAATGCTCAGACATGTAATGAAATACCTGACAGTCTGTTTCTTTCACAGCCGTCTCCATCATGGAGGTGCCCAGGAGGCTGTCCTTCCCACTGGTTCTCCCTAAACCAGCCTCGTCTGCTTGGTCTCCTCTGGGAGCTGCAGGTCAGACAGCTGGAAGCAGCAAAGATCAAACTGGAGGGGAAAAGTTCATCTCAGAGGAGAAGACGCCTGAGTCAGGGGTGATTGTAGTGGTGGAGGCGCCACCTGAAGATGGAAAAGCTGCTCGGCGATTCTCCTCTCAGGACAGTTTCTCAGAGGAGAGCTCGTTATCAGAGGAGAGGCTGGAAGAGGAGGCCAGAGAGACCCAGAGGAGGGCCGAGGAGGAGGAGGCAGCAGCCAAGGAGAGGGCGGCCCAGAGGCAACAACTGGCCATCCAAGAGCTTGTGGAGTCTGAGAGGAGCTACCTGCGCCTGCTGCAGCTCAGCACCGTGACCATCAGGAGCAACCTGCAGCAGCAGCTACAGGTAGGACCTAGGAACACACCTGCCCATCGAAGCAGGAAGCAGGGGGAGGGGCCAAACTGCTCGTTTCAGACGGAGGGCGACCCTAGGGCCTGCACTGAGCCCTGGGATCAGACACAGAAGGATTATTATCGACTGTGAATCATGCAGAGCTGCTTCAGCTTTATTTATATAGCACCAAATCACAACAGCAGTGGCCTCAATTTGCTTTATATTGTAAGCTAAATAATGATAATATATAATAATACAGAGAACACCCCAACAAGGACGTCTGAGAACAAGCACTTGTTCATAGAGCTCATCCAGCTGGGGAGGAAGAAGGGCTGAGGGAGGGGACAGAGATTAATAATAAGCAGTGAATAAATGCAGGGGGGTGTATACAGTCACAGTGACAAACTCTGATAGTGACAATACAAAGAAGCAAAAAGAAAGTGGCTGAACGTAAAGCTGCTGCTCACCTGTGCAGCAGGTGAAGGTTTTAGCATCCTGCGCCCTCTCAGTGGCTTCTTATCACCTGCTTTTCATTATGCCTGTTCTGTTGCTTAGTACTGCTAAATGACAGCTTATTATCACTGTGCTAATGAAATGAGGCCTCATAAAACATAATGAAATCAGGCTTTATGGGCAAGGAGAGCTGAGCTGTGGAAACACAGCAAGGGAGCAGGGTGAAGGCGTGAGTGAATGGCGGCTCTGTGAGACAGATGAGCCGCTGGATTGTGCATTGTTCAGCCTCCCAGCGCCCAGCGCCCCCGTCTTTCCAGAATGAGCACAGATCCACCTTTATTATCAGAGGTCAAAGGTCAGCCAAGCTCTGACGCTGCTGCAGCACATCCCCATCACTTTTTCAGCGTTCCTCAGATGTTTTTATATACTCAAAATACATGAACACAATATGTTATAATGGGTAATTTGGGTTATAATGGGAGCGTATGGGTTGTAATGGGGAACCTTCAGACTTTGGGGTTAAAGAAGTGTCTGATATCAGGTAAAAACCCTTATTTTCTGTCTCCCCTCCACCTGCTCTGACCGAAGCCGCCTCCAGCTGGACTGGACAGCATGTTTCTGCACATCGAGGAGGTGATCGATGTATCGAGCCGTCTCCTGAGCCTGCTGGACCAGAAGCAGCTTCAGTCTGGAGAGCCTGACTTCCTGCAGAGTCTCTGTAAGCGACCTGACACCAGACCTTTACTTTGACGTGTCACCCTCACAGCTTCAGTCTTTCTGTCGTTGTAAACAGGAAGTCAAACAGGAAGTGGTTGTTCTTTGTTGTTTTTCTGACTCTTATCCTTTTTCTTTATTGACACAAATTTAAAGATGGAGTATTGTGATTCAGCTCAGGTGAGTTCCTGAATCACACAGGTGTCACCTCTTTGTTTTTGTTCCGGGGAAGACTCTTCTTCACAGACCAGCTCAGCATGTAAAGTCCACCTTAAAGTCAGACGTTGTGGCGCTCTGACGTCTGATAAGCTGATGTTTCTCTAACTTCTCACAGTTTTTGTTGGATGAACACAAGATGATCATCATCGAGAAACCCGGGAGGTAGACAGTGAAAATGATGATTGTCTTCGCTCTTTACTCGGCACAGCTGTTTCCCGTGATGAACGTTAAAACTTCCATTCTGCTGCTTCTTGTAAAGGAGTAAAGGTGTCTTTTCCTTCGCTGACAGGTGACTCGTTTCTCAGCCTGTCATCAGAGATGGAAGCCGCCTATAAGGAGTACCTGGCACACTACAATCATGTGACGGAGGTGGAGAAGAGCTACAAACAGAAGGAGGCTCTGTGGAACGAGGTTGTCAGAGTCATCAAGGCTGCGGCGTAAGTTTACGGCGCCTCGTCTCGCCTTCGACAGGAAGTGCTCAGAGCCGAGGAGCTGACTGATGAGTCTTGTGTCTCTCTTGACCTTCAGGCCTGACGTCAACGCCACGTCGCTGAGCTTCTTTTTGGTGATGCCCGTGCAGCGGATTGCCCGCTACCCCCTGCTGCTGCAGACCATCCAGAAGCACACCGACGCCTCCCACCCGGCCTACGCCCTGCTGGAGCAGACCGCTCACACCTCTGTCGCCTTAAACTGTCGTATCAACGAATACAAGCGCTTCCGGGAAGTCGGTGAGGAGCGTGACTAATGGGGCCGGATGTTGGCGTGAGAAAGCAGAAGGTTTTAACTGTCACTCGTGTTTTCTAGCTGACAAATACAGGAAGACGGAAATGCTGACCATCAAGGACAAGATCGTCCGCCTCAACACCCACAGCATTGCCAAGAAGACCGCCAGGCTCGGTCAGCAGATCAAACACGAGGCCGGACTCAAACCTAAGGTAGGCCGAACCCTGAGCCTCATCCACAGGAAGCTCCGCCCACATGTTTGTGAGGAGCAGCCAATCAGCAGAATGCTGTCTTAAAGGAGGAGGAGCTAAAACAGCTTGTGTCAAACAGCACCAGGATGACGCACAGAAGGATTACTGTGAACTGTGGATCATGCAAAGCTGCTCTGGTGGAGTCCAGGAGTGAGAACAGCAGGTTACAGCTCATACAAAGCCTCCGTCAATCATACACTGTAATCATACGTGTGGAAGGATCAGCAGGGGGAGCAGGCTGCAGACAGGAAGTGTCTGATCAGACCTCCCACTCTCCCCAGGCCACTGCTGTGTTCACAGTGGGTGTGAACGTCCGAGCCAGAGTGACTGTACAGCACACGTCCTCCATGAGTATAAAAATTACAATTGATGTCTCGCAGTAAGTTACTGTCAAGTTTGTTGGCGCTGGACTCTGAACTGTGGAATCAGACAAGTGGGTTTATTTACAACACCGGTGATGTGTACATGTATAGAGTGAGGCAGGGAGAAGGGGGCTGGGAAAAAGGGGAACGCACGCTCAGTCCAAATCCAGAGTCCACACCCTGCTCACTCTCACTCACACTCATCTGGGAAGGGTCCAGAGACGGATTGTACAAGGGAGATGGAGATAGACGTCAGAGCTAGGCTCAGGGAGATCAGCATCAGTCTGAGCCGGGCTACACTAACATGCATTTGTGTTGGTGTGAAGCTCAGGTGACCACTGGCAGGTCTGATTGACCAAATGCTGTTAGGTGGAAGCACAGCTGTGGACTAGGGAGAGTGGAAGGTCTGATCAGACACTTCCTGTCTGCAGCCTGCTCCCCCTGCTGATCTTTCCACATGTATCATTACAGTGTATGACTGACTGAGGCTTTGCATGAGCTGTAACCTGCTGTTTTCACTCCTGGACTCCACCAGAGCAGCTTTGCATGATCCACAGTTCACAGTAATCCTTCTGTGCGTCATCCCGGTGCTCCTCCTATAAGACAAATGTCTTCTGATTGGCTGCGCCTCACAAACAGCAGGTCTTCTCTGAACCTCTGGCTCCTATTGACACTGACCCCATTACTACACGTTTTAAAGCAGTGTGTCACACAGCTAGTTTATGTAGCGCAGCAGTGTGTGAGCTCAGAGCATCTCTTTAGACCGGTGTGTTGGATGTCTTGCAGCTGGTGGACGAGGAATTTGATGCCCTGGAAGGATTCTTCTATGTTTTGGAAAACGGCATCCTGGAGCTGCTGGAGAACGTGGAGATGTACCTGCAGCACCTCCAGGTAAACTCACGCTCACACTTTGTCTTGGCTCTCGACTTCAAAGCTTTAGTGGACTTTATTGACTAAAACTTCAAACCTGAATAAACTCATTTGTAAAACATAAATTTGCAGCAGTCACTGTTTCAGGCTGTGACTCACGGTCAGACGCTATAATTACAGACGTGCAGTCATGAGTTTGTGAGTCTCTGTCAGGAGGCCACACACACACGTACCTTTCTGTTTTCCTCATTCTGTCCTTCACACCAACACTCAGCTCTTTGTATCTCTCTGCTGTTTAGCTTGTTTAGACGTTAGCGAGGATGACCCGCCCACATCTCCTGCTCTCCGTCTGCAGCACAAACACCGACTTTAAGAAATGCTCAGAAACGTTTCTTTGCTTCAGCTTCACTCTGATGTGTTTGATTGTACATGTTTGGTTTGTAAAATAACGTGCTGAGGGCGGCGAGTCGTGTTTGGACAGCCAAGCGCTCAGCTGTGTGTGGTTGCTCTGCAGGGCTTCCTGTCCTGCCGCACGGAGGACTTTGACTTGGACATGGATGGAGAAAAGGCACCGATCTGCTACAAAGAGATCACGACGGCGCTCCGACAGTGGATCCTCCCGATGTTTGTGAGTGATTAAATCTGAGAACGGTGCTGCGGTCTTCACAGATGCAGGAAATGTCGCAGCACTGCATCCTGTCGGCTCGTGTCCAGTTAAGAGGACAGGATGAGCTGCGATTACAGACACAGCACCAAACTTTACAGATTACATCACAGACTTCTCTCTGTGTAAACAGCTTCTGATTGGTGGATGGTCTGCATCCCACCTCCGATCTCCTCTGCACACGCTCAGAACATGATCAGAGGTCAGACACAGGCCGCTGTGTCTCTGAGCGCCTGCAGAGGTGGACATGCATATTTTGCCCCCTGTGAAAGGATGATGCAGTGAACGACGGTCTGCTGATGTCGATCTGTTCTTTGTTCCTTCTTCCAGGAGAAGAGGATGAGGAAGCTGATCCACCAGCCGCTCTGCGCTCTCCGGGACCTCCTGGTGGGCCCGAGGAACCTAATCAGGAAGAGACTCGACAAGCTGCTCGACTACGAGGTGATCGAAGGAAAACCCAACTTGAGCTACGCGGAGCAGGCTGTGGCCAACACGTACAGGTGGGAACTGGTTTCTGATGGTTCCTGATGGTTGGAGCTGTGAGTGACCTCGGATGATCTGATATCCTCGTGTTGGTGTTGTTCCCAGACCATCATGAAAATGTTGTTCCAGGTTCAACATTGCAAGTGACCAATCACATTGTTGTGACGTTATTCTTTTGCGCGCCAAGCCATTCGTGCATTTATGAAATTCCAATGTTGCAAGGACAATATCAATTCTGCTCACTGTTTATTAAAGGGTTACGGTTAGGGTTAGGGTCAGGGTCCGTTGATCGGCGGACAGAGGCGGTTTCATGCAGCTTAAGTACAGTTTTTTGTTTTACGCCAGTTTTTCCCGAAGTCGCAAAAGTATGATGTCACAACATTCTGATTGGTCACTTGCGATGTTGATCCTGGAACAACATTTAGTATGATGATCTGGGAACAACACCAACACGAGGATATCAGATCGTGCGAGTGACCTCCTCTACTCCCCTCTCCTCCTGACAGGACGTTGAACACACTGCTCCTGACGGAGCTCCCTCAGTTTAACGGGCTGGCTCTGCAGATGATGTGGAGCACGTTGGGGACGTTCAGCTGTCTGCACAGAGATCTCGCAGCAGACATGGAGCAGCTGTTTCACAGCTTCGCTCAGCAGGTGACGTCCTTACAGACAGGCTGATGCACAAAAACACGTTGGATATCTGTGCTCATCCTTCACGTGTCTCCCTGCAGCTCCCTCACAGCAGCCTTTCTCCTGGTGCATTCTGGGAGTGGGCAGAGTCTTCGGTGCTGGAAGGAGCGAGGAGGCTGCAGCATTTATGTCGAATGGTGGAGGACAAGCTCAACGCGCCAGATGCCCAGGTTAGCGTTCAGATCGGCTTTCATTCATTTATACAGCAGCAAACCACCTCAGGGCGCTTTACACTGTAAGCTACAGAGCACTATGGGCAACAGTGGACCACTCAGCTGACCTCAGACATGTTTGACATGTTTCAGCTGATTGGTTACTGCTGAAAGGTCAGAATAAAAAATATAACAGTGATTTTAATCATCCAGCAAACATCCTTCTCCGAATATTTAACCACACAGATGGTGTCACACCGACGCGATGGTGTCACACCGACGCTCCCAGTCTGAGCTTCAGTTTCCTGAGATTGTTGGTGTTCGGTGGGGGCGGTGGAGTTTGCTGTGTGAGCGTCGAGCATCGTTCCTGAAGTAATCTGTCTAAAAAAACGCCACCTGTATTTCCTGTTCTGCCGCGTGTTTTGTGTGAACTGGTTCAGCTACTGGTCCCAGTAAAGATCTGAAGTTCCAGTCACGTCACACTTAGCTGGAGGGTATAATACAAGGTTCTGGCTGAAGAATGTGGCGAATCACCATCATACGTCATTCGCAGGCGATAACGAGTCAGAGACGAGGAAGCGGTGAATGTGCCACTTCTGGTTCTTCAACTTTGCAGCTGCAGAACCAGAAGTGTCTCTTTCTGAGCCATTGTTTTAATTTCTGAACACCTTCCAGGTAAATTTGAGCACGTGTGAGTAATTCAGCAGTTCTGCCCTCTCTGAGATCTGACGTCTGCTCGTGTCTTTCAGCCTCTCAGCCCGTCCTCTCAGCGCCGTCTGAAGCAGCTAACGGATAAGCACGGCTCTGGAAAGATCTTCCAGGTGATGAGCACGGTCGTGGGCACCCGGGACCTGGACCTGAACTTGACTAAGGGCGAGCTGGTGGCAGTGATCAGCGAGGCCGACAGCCGTGGAGACAGAAGGAGGTGGCTGGTCGATGCAGGAGGTGAGACTTTTTATGACGTTTGCACTAAAACCTGAGAGGAAGAACTGTGGCGCCATCTGCTGGCGAGCCGCTGTTATTGCAACTGAAACAGACGAGCAGCCAATGGGATCGCTCTGTGAGGGCACACCGGGTTGGTCTGACACTGTCAACAAATAAATGTTAAACTATATTTACGTCTTCACGCAGGGAAGCGAGGCTACGCTGCTGCCTCGAAACTCATTCGCTATCACCAGCCAACAGACGACCCGCCCCCTTCACCACACCCGAACCTGACAGAAGACGTGACCGCACGCAGAAGACACTCCTACAGCCCGGCGGGCAATGCCCCACTGCCCATGAGTCAGCCCTGCTTCCAGGTAATTGAATTCCTCTGCATTAGACTGTCCAGGAGACGGAGGCCACGTGCTGTCCACCAGCGCAGGGCTGCAGGTTGATCATCCAGCTGCAGTCAGAATACTTTAATAATCCCGACAGTCGCCCCGAGATAATAAGAACAGACTGAACTAATTAAGTAATACAACATGTTACAAAGTTCGCTCTGATATATACAAACGGGCAGGAAGGACGTCCTGTGTCATTCAGTGGTGCATTATAGGTAATGTCAGTCTCTGACTGCGTGTGCTCCTGTGACTGGCCAGCACGTTGTGGCGTGGGTGGGTTGTGTTGTCCTTATCTTGGACAACACCCTCCTCTCCACCTTGACAGCGTCCAGCTCTGCCTGTTACTGGCCGTCCCAGCATGCAGCAGCACAGAGGACGGCTCTGGTCACGACAGTAAGACTGAATTTGTTGTTGTGCACAGCAAATGCGATGCTGTCACATCCTTGTACGCGTTGATACGCTGCTAGATGGAGCGCCGGACTCTCAGCGGTCTGCTCCTGAACAGTAATGTGACACAGAGCGGCTCTACCTGAGCAGGTGATTTAAAGACCGGTAGCTTGTTGTTGATGCTGGATCCTGTCTAAGCTGTCAGTGTTTACAGTGTTTGGCCCACCCAGTAACAGCCTTCACGTGGATCTGACTCGGTCACACGCTCTGGGCTCCTACGACACGCTGCTGATCCTCCAACACAGCATCCAAGGAAGCTTCACGTTTTCATTCAGTGTTTGCACAAGTTTGTAGGGATCAGTAAGAATGTCAGATACAATCCTGTTCCACCCACAGCCCGTGGGTATTCTGTGAGGCGTTCATGGAAAGATCTGCTTTGTGCCAGTGCATGCACACGTCTCCAGTAGCAGCAGCAGGCCTGTGTCCACCTGTCCTCACACGCTGTCTTTCTGTACCTCAGAGGCGCAGTCCACACCGGTCTCTCAAACCTACGGTTTTTATACCATCATCTGCTGATTTTTTTCTTAAACGGTAGAAGAAGATATGTTCTGTGCAGCCCTCGTCTTACACGTGACGACGTGTGCTCGGAGTACTTCTTCTTGTCTTCGTGTTGATGCGTTGCACTTCTCTGAGCATAATTCAGTGCAAAATAAGCGCTGCTGCTGTTGAGCACGGTTCATTAGAAAGAGCCGGGTCAGGTGGTAGTAACGACCCCACGCTGGTGTTTACAGCCGAGTGTGTGTGTGTGTGATGTGTGATGACACACTGATGTGTGTAATGCTGCTGTATCAGCCTCTGCAGCTGGAAACATCTGCGACTCGCAGTGTTGTTCTGACCTTTATTTAAACGCCGTCAGGGAAGACGCTGTCACTTCCTGCCTCTGTTTCCTGTGTGCGGTCTGCAAGTATGAAAGGAGCGACTGAGTGGAGCTTAATCACAGATGGGCTCTGTAACGCTGATGATGTGTGTTCCTCCTGACAGCCAGGAGGTGCATGTACGTGATGGAGGAAGGATGTGTGGATACAAGTGACGGTGTGGAGGCGGAGACTGTTAAATGCTGCTTTTTTTTCATGTTTCCAGGTTGTGGGCGCCTACGACTTCACGGCTAGATCCAAACACGAAGTATCCTTCCGGGCCGGAGAACCCGTTCGTATCCTGGAGCCTCACGACAAACGAGGGAGCCCCGAGTGGAGCCTGGTGGAGGTCAGAGGAGGTCAGAGAGGCTACGTGCCCTCCAACTACCTGGCAATCATGCCCGTGGGAGCGGGGCTGCCCCCGAACCCCGGCTTCTTCCTTTAGGGGGGGAAACTGCAGCTGGTGCAGATGAGAGGATGGATGGAAGAGCCTCCCGGGATCAGCTGTTTACAGTCTCAGCGTTAATCCTGCCACTTTATCCAGTTTACGAATGGAAGTGTAAAGTTTCTCCTGTGGCGTTTCCTGCTTCCACTTCCTGTGCAGCGTGCACAGGATCGAAGCTTCAGGAGCAGCAAATGAAGTTTACTGACTTTAGCTTTAATAATGAAGGTTTACTGGTCTGCAGTGATCTCTGCACTAACATGCACAATCATCCAAGAACGCTCTTCAAACATGGCGTCTGTAACGCCATGAAGCTCTGACGGCGTGTCACCTCAAACAGCCTGAACATTTGGACGATGTTCGGTGCGGCGAGGACACAAAGCTGTTTTTAAGATGAAGGACGATTTTCATGGCTGCTGTACGGTGAAGCGCTCATTTCCCATGAACCTCAGAGTGATGCTGCATACATGCAGGGTGTGAGCTCTCTCAAGCTAACTGTAACGTGTGTGTGTGTGTGTGTGTGTGTGTGTGAGAACCCTCTTCACCTGCAGCAGCGCTGACAGGTACACGGCGCTCTCATCATCTCAGACTGAGTAATGTGATGTAAATGTGAAACGTCTCCGAGGCCGAGGAAGAACAAGACTCAGCAGGAGGAGCAGCTGGGAGAGGGGCGAAGGACAGCGGCAGTTTCTGCTTTGCCTATGAGCGGATTTAAATTTCGTTGTACTTTGATTCCAGAGTTTTACGTAGGAGTGAAATGGGTCAGGACAGAATAACCTCCTCCTGCATTCACATTCACCTGACGATGCTTGTTGCTATGGATACGGCTCAGTCAGTGCAGGTCACGTCTGTGGCATTTGCTCGGCCGGACTAAAGCTGCAGCAGCATTTCTTGATTCCCGCACTTTTGGGTCAGAATCATTTGAAAGCATCTCTGAGCCTCCTGATTGGCTCTTAGGTCATAAACAGGAAGCTGAGCTCCAGTAGTTTTGCAGCTAACAACAGCTTGAATGTTTGAGCACCACAGACTCTCTCCTGGCCTCCTCCTGTGGGGCTGAGCAGCCTCAGCTGCTGTGAGCGTGGAGCAGAGGGAGGGAGGCCGAGAGTCAGAGCTGCTCAGCTGTTCCCATCAGGCTGAATGTCAGGAGGAGGAGGAGGAGGATGCTTCTCTCCTAAAATACCAGATGTCCTCAGGGTTAGTCAGATTGACTGAAACCTCAGCCTGAGAACATTTACCTGATTTCCCCTCCTCAGAGCCCGGTTTAGGATGAGGGGAGCGGTTCATTCCTTAGTTATTTTGGGAAGTTTTAATTCCACAGACGTGCAGATGAAGCTGCAGCGTTCCTTATTTGGAGGAAGTAGATATTTGAACCCATACGCACACGGAAACCACAGAGGGAACATTTCTGGTCAGCATCTTCCTCACATGCTGTTCTCATTTTCACCACCAGAGGGAGGCAGAGACTCGGAGCGTGTGTGCATGATCAGACTAACTGTGTGTGTGTGTATGCATGTTTGGTAATCGTGGCCACAGTGTGTACTTCCTGTTTTGTTTCTGTGTGGTTTCACGAACCTGCTGCTCAGTCGGTCCTGCTGAGTCATTCTGTTTCCTCGATGCTGCAGAGCTGCGTGACCTCTGCTGAGCTGCCACAGTTGTGATATTGAACTCAGTCACACAGCAGGTGGGAGGCTGAGCAGCAGCAGAGAGTGTGGCTTCAATAAAACTAAACTCAAAACTTTTTTGTGGCATTGCATCATTTCATAATCAGATGTTAGTTGTGAGAAGAAGCACCTGAATATTTGTGATGATTTACGACGCTGTGGGGTCCACACCCACTCAGCCCCTTTTACAGTTAAACATCTGGAGACACAGCTGTTCTTGTTCATGCATCATCATCATCAGTGTGCACATTTGCACACAGCCTACAAGTTTTCGCCATCTACTGAATAACAAGCTGAAAGAGGAACCTGCAGTTCCTCTGGTGTCCAGCAGAGGCAGCAGTCCCCATACACGCCAGTGTTTTTTTTTTTTTTTTTTTTTTTGCCTGTCCCGTTTGGCTCTTTTGCCATCAGAATTGTTGTCTAAAGGCAAAGAAAGATGCCCAATGGATTTACTTTACCAAATTGACCATCCCAGCCTTGCCATAATGGTCCATTTGATTCACCTTTTAAGATAAGATAAGATAAGATAAGATAACCTTTATTAGTCCCACACGTGGGAAATTTATTGTTTATTTTATTTTCACTTACTGAATACGGGACAGACTTGACTGGGGGAAAGAAGGGGAGAAAGAAAGAGGGAAAGAGAAACAGCTGAGAAGAGGGACGGGGGAGAAGGGCAAAAGACAAAAACCAACAGAACGGGCAGAGAAAAAAAATGCATATATCAATCACCTGGATCACCTGCTGAGAAAGAAAAAAGAAAACAAGCAGAAGAAAACAAGAGTAATAGAATAAACAACATCACAATGATATATGGGAATATGACAGTAAATACTAAATATTAAACATTATTGTGCAGCACATAAGATCAACAGAACACAGTGTGCTTTGAGGTAGGAGCCAAAAAGGGTGTAGTTTGTCTGAGTTTGTGGGTGTGATCACCCGTGTGTACACCTGTGAGCATGGACGCGCTTGTTTTTTGTTTTTTTAAAAGGTTCCTTCATGTAATGATCTGCTAGAGGGGGGGGGCACAGCCCCGTCCTCCAGGGCATGAAGCAGGTATGGAGGAGATCAAAACTCCAGACATCCAGAGGCCCCCAGAACACAAGAGACCAAGGAAGACCAACAGAGGGGCAGCCGCGCCACTGTCCCAGAAAGAGCTGAGGAGAGTCCCAGATGAGGGCTCACTCAGCAGCCGCGGAGCAGAAGCTAGGGGAGTTGCAGTGACGCGCCCGTGAGCTCCGCCGGCAGCCAGCCGTGCCTGAGTGACCGAGCCCCAGGGCGAGAGGCCGGGGGCACCCCACCTCCGAAGTGGCCTGAGCGAGCCCCAGGCTCCAGGCCCCGATAAGCGGCCGCCAAGGAGTGAGCCGGTGTGTACCTGGACGCCCATCCCCGGACACAAAGAACCACCAACGCACCGATGTCTGAGGGAGTCCGCCACTGGCAGGGGAAGTGGTGGGGGGAGATAGGCCTCCAAACCTTGGAGGGCCTGAGATGTCCCCAGAGAGGTGGCGCCTGACACCCAACCTGACATATAGACACAGACATACAGGCACACACATATACAAACATCCATTCCCACCCATATGCACTTACTCCACACTCAACCAACGTGGAGACAGACATAAAGAGACGCTGTACACACGATTACACTCCCCAAGCGTACTCTACGAACCGGGTCTAGGTACCCTTGCCCCTGGAGGGGGGAACTGCACCCAGACCCAGGTGGTGTTACCCTTTTCCCTGCGGTGGGGAGAGGCAGACCGCCCCGACTCCGCAGCAGCAGGGAGGCCCCACACTCCAGACCGCAGTCGGACGGCCAACTCCTCCTCCTAGCCCCCCCACTCCAGCAGGCCGCAGAGAATGGGGGTGAGAGAAGACTCCAAACGCCAGTGTTAAATAAACAGCCTGATACAGGAACAGCATTGGTCTCCATAGATAATTTACTCGTTCATAACAGCTGTCTTAACCCTGTGTTGTACAGAATAAAGATAAGAGGAAAAAGAAAAGTCATTATATGCAGATGACACATTTTTATTTTACTGGACTTTGTTTGAATTCAGAGACAAAAATAACAGCTGTCCAGGTGAGGATGTTTCTGTACCTCACCTGTTTAAATTATATTAAGGCTTAAGGTTTGCATTACTAGGGGCGTGGTCTCTTCGACTGACAGGTGGATGGTGACACAGGTGGGTGTAGCTGCTAGCTTCACCCGAACAGCACCTCAGCACCATGTTTGTGCTGCTTGAGAGTTTTGAAGCATTTTAATGACATCATGTGACCAATAACATTGCTGCGGTGAGGTCACTGTACTAACAGATTGTGCAGGAAGGCGGAGCTCCAGATTTAGTGCAGGGGAAATTTCTAGGATTTTGATTGGCTGTTACTGATTAGGTGGTGTAGCTGATACCTTAGCACACCCTCACGGTCACTTCAGTCTCCAGAAAACACGACTGGACTCTGAAGCTTGGATATGTTGAGTTCAAAACTAGCTGGTGCCTTGACCTCCACCTTTTTAAAATCTTTGTCAACACAGTGGTGAAGAGAGAGAGGAGTATCCTTTATTGTCCATCCTTCTGCATGCACGATGACAGTCATATGGAGTCACACAGAAGTAAGGAATAAGAGACTACAGGAAATGGAGAAACTGTGCAAATACCAGCAGGATGTTGGTATTTATTGACTTCATAACCATCACTGGTTATGAAGTCTAACGGGGAGGAAGGACCTGTGACAGAACTGGACCTCTCCAGCTGTGTGTGTGTGTGTGTGTGTGCGTGTGTGTGGGGGGGGGGGGGGCTTCCTGATGAGCTTATCCAACTGATAGTCGATAACACTAACACACAGCATGGCTGACGCCACCCTCAGAAGCGCGTCCTCCGTCTCCTCAGCAGGTGGAGTCTGCTCTCAGTCTTCCTGTAAAGAGCATCAGTGAACACCCAGGTACTTCATTACTGTACCTGTGTAGAACTTTCAGGTATCTGTACTTTACTATTTATTTTTCCCTGAAACGTTTTACCCCAAACATTTGTACACAAACATCTGTTCTTGCTCCTCCTTACATTGTCAAAACAGGCTTGTTGCTTTAGGTTTAACGTCTAAACGTCTTGATCCTAAACCCAGTTGGTTTATTGATCACTGAGGGATGTCCCACAGAGGTGAAACCTTTAATTTATGTATCTTTAAAGCGCATTTCTCAGAGGTTAATGGTGTTCACGGTGCAGATGTTAATAAAGTTGCAGTACTTCAGCGCTACAGAAGAGGAGCGGGCATAAAGGGAGGAGCTCAGCAAACATCAGCAAACACACAAACTGCTGGTGTGTGTGTTTGTCTCAGTATGTGTGTGATCTGAAGGTCCAGCTGCTGGATCACAGCATGAGATGGAGAGAGGGGGAAGAAAGAGCACAGGGAGGAAGAAGACCGTTGGATTTAAACAAAAGGACTGTTCTGTAACTCTGTGTTGTTGAACAGGTCAGCTGATCACAGCCTCACAATGTGCTGCTACAGCCACGGAGAGCTCCTCCACCTTCTTACACCATGTTGTAACAGCTGATTTCTGTTTATGGTGGCGGTGTAACCCCACTCAGTCTCTATGTCCGGTGCTGTATGAGTAAAACTCTCTGGACTCAAGATGGGTAGAGCTCAGGCGTGGTTTATTCCCCTTTTGTGGGTCTCTGCAATAACATGGGACATGAATAACCATGGGTTTCTAACGGGATAAGCTTAGGGAAAACCAGCTTACCAGTAGCAGACTTCGATTGCAGATTTTCAAAATAAAAGTTTCAAAATCAAATCTTTCAAAATAAACCCATGGTTGCGATCCCAAGTTTAACAGGAATTTAACCACAACAAAACCATGTTCATTCTTTTACATTGTTACAAAGGCAAATTACAAACTTCCTGCCCTGACGCAGAGTGTGAGCTGATAGGGATCACACCAAAGAGTTCAAATGAACTGAATAAAAACAGCAGAGTGTTGTGTTGGGTTCTTGAATGAAGACTCCTGCTCATGCAATAACATGAAGCAGTATATTTTTAATAACCATCTTCGAGGCTGTTTCCATGCCAAACCATTTCCCATTTTGTGGGTAAGTGGCGCATGCATATCCAATCTATATAGTACCGCCCTATACAATTAGGGTGGTACACTCTCTCACTCGTAGCTGCATAATATTTTTTTTCAATACAGACATACCCAAACATAAACTTTGCTATTTTCATAAACACCCTTTCATCACTCTCTTAACCCAAGTTAAAAATAGTACGGGCTCAAATTGTGGTCATAAATATTTTGTACTTGCAAATCAGGATTTGTAAAAAGAATTTGTGTGTGCGTAAAAAAGATTTGTGTGTAGCCAAAAAATACGTGTGAAACTCTGCACTCAAGTTACAAGTATAAATTTTGACCTTATTTTTCTTCCTTTCATCTGATTGGCCAATGTCATGTCAATCATAAATTTAACTATCCAATCAGATGAACAGATGGGTTTGGCTATTGGAGGAGGCAGGAGGATTAGAGCTCCTCTGCATGTTGTGTTTGCTTTAGTGATGGTAAATTTGATTCTTTTTACTGAATCGAGTTTTAATGAGTCACTCACCAAAGTGAATCGAGTTTTTTGAGTCATTTCATTCACTGAGTCAGTTGACCAGAGAGTGCAAAAAATTTACATTTTCACTCAAACTTAATTAGTTTCTCTTTTCATGTAAATCCCACTGCTAAGATGAATGATTCTAAAAAAACCCCAACTATTTTATAGAGCAAAAAAAAGAGCAAAAACATTTCTAAAATTAAGCAATTTTCTATCAAAATTGCTTAATAAACATTTATTTTGTTTATTTGTATTTTATTAGTATTTTTCTTAAATGTGTCAAATATATATTTTCTCATCTAAATGTCCACTGAGCTGTGAGCCAGGGGGCGGTAATGCGCCTTAACATTGGTTGCCAACCAAGAAGAAGAAGAAGCTGTGAGCCAGGAGGCAGGGGGTGAGTGAGTGAGTGGCTGTATCCCAATTCAGGGTCTGCAGCCTTAAAGTACGCAGCCTCAACGGTCCACAAGGGCCGAGTACTCAAA